TAGATGAATGCATACATAACATGTATACACACAAAAAGATACACATATCTTGACAATATATTTGCAAATGAATAATAATACATTATCTAGGATTGTCTATAACAGTATGAATTTGATAGTTATTAAGCTATAAAATAGCAAATAATTTTCTCAAAAAATCTCTAGAAGATGGTAGTAGTAACAATCCCATTTCACCAAGGAGGAAATTGAAGCACAAAGTAATTTAATAATTGAACCATGGACACAAAATCAGAAAGTGGCAGACTCAGAATTCAAACCCAGGCAATCTGGCTCCATAATCAAAGTACTTAAACACAATATCCCCAGGTTATTCTCAAATAGGAACTTTTAAAAAAGAAACACACATCCAGGAGAAATTTGAACAGAATAACAAATTGAAAGTTCTCAACTATTTCACCCATGTTGGAATTGAGAGTTAAAAAAGGGGAATTGGAAAGATGAAGAGTAAAATTCCCTGAAGTCTCATTTGCTAGGAGAAAAGGCAAGAGGAGTAGATGCATCCTGTGAGAATCAGCTAATCAAGATGGGAGGGAAGCACAATGATGTATAAAGAGCATTTTTACCAGGGAAATAATTGATGTCTTTTTATCAAAAATGGTAAGGAAGTATACATGTAATCATGAGGAACAAAAAGGAAAGACAGATGAAAGCGTAGTACTTACCAAAGGAAATGGAATGAATCACAACGTGATCAAACATACCAAAGAGGGGAAAAGGCAAAATGACAATCTAAAATAAACAATAAATGTAAAATTAGATATAAGGAACAAAGTCTGATACATCAATTATTAAACTATAAAGCAGAGACTTCCAGCTAGGTTAAAAGCCAAATTCAAGCTACACAGTAATTCCTCTCACCCCCATCAGCAGTGGACACATCAAATCCACAGTGGCATGCAGGAGCCATAGATAGTACTGAACCTTATCCATGCTATGTTTCTTCCCATATTACAACTTAAAGTTTTAATTTATAATTAGACACAATAAGATGAAAAGAAAGTAGGCTACACAGCTGAATTAGAGTGTATCTAGAACAGAAGGGCCACTGGAAAACTTCCATCATGACCTCCCTGTGACCTTAAAGGGAAAAAACAGAAAGCAGGATGACCAGAAGAGGACACTAGAGGACTAGGGCACAACCAATCAGAATGTTGCAGGCCAGACAACCAGAATGCTGATTTCTGCACACCTAATTAGCATAGAATTGAGCAAACACTCTGGGTAAATAATAAAAACCTAGACCACATCACTCTCTGGCAACCTCTCTTGGGGCCCTCCAGCTCTGAGACTCTATCTTTTTGCTATTTTCTATATCAATAAACTCTCCACTTTAACTTCTTGCATTGTCATGATTTTCATCTTCAAAAATTTTGAGACAAAGATGCAGGCTTGGGAGAGAGCATGCCTATAAACCTTAAACCACAATAACTAATAGCAAAGAATATTAAGGTAAATGCAGACCTTATCCTCTCTCTCTCAAACTTGTACTGTTACTCAAACCTTATTCTTGTGCTGAGTTGTGATGATGAATTACAATATCATTCCTGCATCCTGAGAAGGAGTTGTAAACCTGCATTTCTGAATCCTGAAGAGGAGATACCAGTCTGATAGATCTTCACAAGGCTGAGGAGCAAAATGCTCTCAGATTGTTTCCCTTCTCCAATAAGGGGCAAAATGACCAGTTCACCTAGGAAAGCCCACAAAGCCAGTGAAAAGAACCCACTAACCAGACTTAACACATAAAAACCCCAGCTTCACCTGAGAGCAAGCTACTGGTTTCCGGGTTCTGCTGCACTGCTCTAGCTGTTCCTTTTCCTTTCTCTCTAATAAATCTACTTTGTATACTGCTCATCAATCAGTTGCCTCATGAGCCAGTTCTCTGGCCTGTAAGGCAAGGACCCTCGACACCAGCCACAACACTTCAAACTGCACGTAACATTTTTGGCAACCCAGATGGGACTTTTCTTCTGGACAAGGTGGTATGACTTGAGCACCAAACGCAACAGGGGCATGCCTAAGGTGCAACTGTGCAGGTCTGGCACCTGCGGATGTCCCCGCGGAGGAACCCCTGCGATGGCTAGCCAAAATTCGACTTCCTTGTGCTGTTCAACCTGTATGCTTCTGTTCCTGACTTCCTGAGGACTTTCCTGTTCACCGTAATCAAACAACAGCTCTAACCCCAAGGCAATGACGGTTCTGCTGGGCTTTTGCTCCCTCCTGGAGGCAGCCCAGGTTTCAGTTTGCTTATGCTATGTTGGAGGAGACCTGATTGTTGTGGCAACCTGACGATTTTTTTTGTGCTTTTCCCACTCTGTCAATACCCCTTCTGCCAAGGCGTGACCCCTAGAGTGAATTTCGTGTTTGTGAACAAGTGTTCCAGTACCACCTAGTGGGAGGCCGCTAAAAGCACTCGCTTAATTCCTTAGCTGCATGCGCCTCCAGGCTCTTGCCTTCCCCCTGTTCTAAGAATCTGAAACCCATTTGCCCCTCCCCTGAATCCACGCCTTGTCCTCATCCTCTGTCTGCCTCCCTCCTGGCTTACTGGGACCGGCCTACATGGTAAAACATAACAATGGTACCTTGTGCTCTTAAAATTACCAAGCTAGTTGTCAGGCCCCTTGTCAAAGCCGTTTAAATCAGCTGCAAAGCGCCTGCGGAAAATGGGCGTGCAACAACCCTAACTCGCCCACAGGGGAGGAGGAACAAACCCGGCAAGTGGTAAATGCCACAGCTAAGGTAATCCGTGAGAGGGCCCGCGCACATCCAAACACCTACCATACAGAAGAACTACAGGTCGGGCTGGGCAGAAGGGTTGTCATCCTAGGTGGGGGAGGGCAGTGGTGAGTTTCATGGCCCATTCCTAGTCACCTCATGCCTCTAGCCCTGATTCGACCCGTCTTGGTAAGCAATTCTTTCAAGGTTAATGGTCTGAAAAAAAAAAAAAAGACTAATGTAACCTTCCCCGAAACAAATAAATGGTGTGCTGTGTCTCTAAACTTCTTCATTAAATTTACTATACTTGGCCTCACATAAGAGTTTTTTCTCCAAAACATTAAACTCAGTCAATCTGAGGCCCTGTTTGATTGCTCCAAGACCCTCTGAATACTCCCAACATTAAGGCAACTCTCCAGGCTTTGTTTAAAAGGCTGCTGCTGTTAGATAAAAGGCAGGCTCAAGAGGTTTTTTTTTTCACTTGTCAGCCAGGGTGACCTATTCCAATCAGTCACTTCCTTCTGTCCTGGTCACAGATGCAAGAAGGAAGTCTTGAACAGGGACGCCTGTGCTTGTTAGTTAGGTCAATCCCAGTCGGGACACCTACAAGAGGGGAACTGACCAGTGTTTTTGTTATTGTTGTTGTTCTTCTAGATGGGACCTGCCCCCCTTCCAGCTCAGTACCCAAGTGCTCTCTGCTGGCCTGTCTACTAAAATGTTGAAAGGAATACTCAAGAAAAAACCCTCATCTTTCTTTGTATTGAGGCCTGGCCTCAGTATCCCTTGGGTGACCAAGAGAAGTGGCCTTCATAGGGTTCCTTAAATTATATTACCATACTCCAGTTATAACCTTTTTCTGTAAAAGGGAAAAAGTGAACTGAGGTCCTCTATATACAACTTTTCTTTTATCTCCAAGACCACCCAGAGTGGCTCCATAATTGCTATCTAGATACTCAAACACTGGCCATTCTTTGTAAGCCACAGGTTAAACATGGGGAAGGAGAACCAGAAAGCCCCTTACCAATGACAAGTCCCCCACCATTACTGCTCTACCCTCTTCCATACCTTCTAAGCCACCAATTTTCAGAACTCCTAATGGATGTTCCCCCTTCAACAGGCAATGGTAAGAAGGTGACTTTATGTTCCCTTCCAGTTATCAGATACAGGAGAGATTTATTTATTATTTTTTAATTATTATTCACATGTGCATACAATGCTTGGGTCATTTCTCCCCCCTGCTCCACCCCTCCTTTTCCCCCCCCCCTCGATACCCAGCAGAAACTATTTTGCCTTATCTCTAATTTGTTGAAGAAAGAGTATAAGCAATAATAGGAAGGAAAAGGGTTTTGAGGGTTGAGATAAGGATAGCTATACAGGGAGTTGACTCACATTGATTCCTGTGTGTGTGTGTTACCTTCTAGGTTAATTCTTTTTGATCTAACCTTTTCTCTAGTTCCTGGTACCCTTTTCCTATGGCCTCAGTTGCTTTTAAGTATCTGCTTTAGTTCTCTATGTTGAGGGCAACAAATGCTAACTAATTTTTTAGGTGTCTTACCTATCTCATATCTCTCTTGTGTGCTCTCACTTTTATCTTGTGATCAAGCTCAATCACACTCAGATACAAGAGAAATTTAAAAAAGATCTAGATAGCTATACTCATGCCCCAGAGACCAATACATCCAAGCCTTTATCTCTGTAATTCAAACCTTTGAATGGCATGAAAGGATATTATGCTTCTACTAGACCAGACTCTTTCCTCATTAGAAAAGCAATGGGTTTGCCCAAGCCACAAAGGTTGGGGACAATTTCCATCTACAATGACCCAATACCCATGACACCTGAAAATGAGGAAATACAGGTGCCTATACTCCCAGGGGCACAGCCAGTCCCTTGGCAGATCCACATTGGAATCAAAATGGTAAGGAGGATGAATGGCATCAATGCCACTTCATCCGTCTTATAGTGCCAAACACAAACCTCTAACGAGTCCAGGTGACTGTAGTACAACAAGACCCTGAAGAAAACCCCTTACTTTTTACGGCATCTTAAGGATGCTATCAGAAAGCATACACAGTGGACCAGAGTCACAGGTAGGAGAGGTTCTCCTCAAAGATAAATTTCTAATTCAATCAGTCCAGATATCAGTAGAAAACTCCAAAAGTCTGTGGCTGAAGGAGAAAAATCATTGGACCAACTAATGCAGCTAGCCATGTCTGTATACTATAACCGGGACATTACTAAAAGAAAGAAAACTATAAAAGAACACTATGACCTCATCACAACTCTCAGAGAGTGCCCCTGACTGGTGTCTACATCCTGAGATTGCTACGCTGTGGACAGGAGGGGCACTTTCACAGAGAATGCCCAAAAAGGACACAGCTTGGGAGACAGCCCAGGCCCACCAGGATCTACCCTCTCTGCCAAGGTAATCACTGGAGGTCTAAGTGCCCCCATCTCCAGATGGAAGGCAGGGTGCCACCTCCTATGGATTGATGGGTCCTGGGGCCTCCTGTCCAGGCTCCACTTCTTAGCATCATTGTTGAGGAGCTCAGTATCCATAATGGTAGCAAAGCAAAAAGATCATTTCTCTAGACAGTGGAGTCTGTTTCTCTGTCTTATAATTCTCTCCTGGTCCCCAGTCCAATGACAAGGTTATATTTGGGGCATATATGCCCAACCCCTAGAGCACTATTTACCCGGCCTCTAGCCTACTCTTGGGGAGACTCCACTTCTGTCACTCTTTTCTCATAGTCCCTGAACTCCAGTGCCCTGCTGGGACAAGATTTACTATCTCAACTAAAAGCTCAAATTCTACTCCCCCAGGTGACTATCTCTGCTGCTCCCTTCCTCAGGAATAAGTAGATCCCACAGTGTGGACCAATGGAATGACTGTAGGGTGAGTCAGAACAGCACCCCCAACTCAAATAAACTCAAAGATCCCTCATGGTTTCCACATCAAAAACAAAATCCCCTAAGCTTGAGGGACAAAGAGGCCTCTTACCTATCATAAATTCCTTAAAAAAACAAGGGCTGCTAATTAATTGCTCCAGCCCCTACAATACTCCTATTCTTGCTGTCCACAAGAGGCCAAACAAATGGAGATTGGTTTAAGATCTCCAGCTCATTAATGAAGCAGTCATACCCCTCCACCCAATTGTTCCCAATTCTATACCTTATTGGCTCAAATACCCTCAAAACCAATATTACTCTGTACTAGATTTAAAGGATGCTTTCTTTTGCATTTCTCTGCATCCTGACAGTCAGCCCCTGTTTGCCTTTGAAGATCCCACAAACCCTTCACAGCAACTCACTTGGACAGTTTTGCCACAAGGGTTTAGAGACACCCTCATCTTTCTGGACAGGCTCTAACAGAGACTTACTAAGTTGGCACTACCCAGAGGCCACCCTTCTTCAGTATGTTGATGACGTACTTCTGTGCAGAGCCACAGAGCCCCTCATCTCCAGGGCAACTGAGTCCCTTTTAAACTTTCTGGCCTCTTGGGATGCAAGGTCTTTAAGGAAAAGGCTCAATTACGCCTCTCTCAGGCCACCTATCTTGGCATGATCCTAAAGGGACAGACCTGCTCCCTGAGTCATGAGCGGATCAACCCAATCCTCTGTTTCCCACTCCCCCATAAAGCTGCTTGGAGCTTTCTTAGGAGTTACAAGATTTTGCAGAATCTGGATCCCTAGATATGCAGCCCTTGCCAAACCCTTTTTATACTCCTTCTAATATTTCTATTTGGGCCTTACATAATAAATGTTCTCTCCAGATTCATATCTCAACAGATCCAATGGATCAAACTCCAGCTCTTAGTCAAAGAATAAGAGGAAGCATCACAAGAGAAAAGGCAGGGAGGGGCTCCTGCCAGGTGGCACAGAAGCATTGATCTCTTTGTTTAAAAACCAGTTAAGTTGTAAGGTAGAAAAAATATGGGTAGTCCTTAGGGAGGTACTAGGGTCACTGGCAGGTTTAATTAATACAGCCTTATCACATAACATGAGGTATTCTGTGCATGTGCTTACACAAATTTCTAGGTCTTTAAGTGTATGTATGAGATGTGACCAATATTCATAAGAACTTAAGTAGGTGACTTTGCCTAAGAGGTCAAATTGGGGGCAGACCTCCTTTTTACCAAGCAAGCCCAGCTCAGAAGTACCCTTTGGACACTATCTTGCAAGGATGTTTATGACTGCCGGGGTATTTGCAACTTAAAGGGCATTTATTGCTCTAGAGATAGCTCAGGGTGGTGCTGGGGGAGTAGCCAAAAAAAAAAGTCTACCATAAAGATATCTGTTTGCTTAAGAAAAGAGAGCCCTATGGTGGGTTATTTTGCTGTTCCTAGCCTGCCTTACTATGATTTGAATATGTCCCCCAAAGTTAATGTTGGAAATTTAATCTCCAGTGCAATAGAGATGAGGTCTTTAAGAAGCAATTAGGCCATGAGGGCTTTGCCTTAATGAATGGATTAATACCATTATCATGGAAATGTATCTCTTTCTCTCTCTCTCTCTCTCTCTCTCTCTCTCTCTCTCTCTCTCTCTCTCTCTCTCCCCTCCTCCCCTGTCTCCCTCCCTTTCTCTCCACAGCAAGAATGTCCTCAGCATTAATCTTGGACTTTGCAGCCTACAGAACCATGAGTGAACAAATATCTATTCATTACAAATTACCCAGTCTCAGATATTCTGTTATACAAACACAAACCAGACTATGACAAGGTGGGAGGCAGAGTTTCCAAGAAATCTGAACAGGGGGGAAATCACACTACAGACCATAAGCTCACCAGTTCACTCAAAGCTTCCAGTCAGCGTCCTAGCTCCTCACTCAAATAAGAACAAATACCCAAGGAATTTTTCTAATATGTAAGACAGAGACAAAAGAAGGCAACATAGGAAGATTGAAAAACATACTTTTTAAAATAAAGATATTTAGATTTAAGTAAAACAATTGCATCATGAGACAAGAATGGAATGGTATTAAAAAATAAATATTCGGGGAACAAAGTTCTTCAAAATTAAAAATATGAAAGCAGAAATGAAACACTCAATAGAAAAGGTGGAACATAATATGTAGGAGCTACCAGCAAACAAAACAAAAAGGACAGAGATGAAAAATGGAACAATGGAAAGATTTAAAAAATTACAAAATGAGCTCCCTAGGATTTGAATCTAAGAAGTATAGGGCAAGGCACCAGTGGCTCACACTTGTAATCCCAGATACTTGGGAAGCTGGGATCAGGAGGATCATGGTTCGAGACTGGCCTGGGAAGATAGTTCTTGAGACCCCCTATCTCCAAAATCACCAGAGCAAAGTGGACTGGGAGGCATGGCTCAAGTAGTAGAAAGTGGTAGAATGTCTGCTTTCCAAGCACAAAGTCCTGCGTTTAAACCCCAGTCTCACCAAAAAAAAAAAAAAAAAAAAAAAAAGTAGGAAGTGAAAAAGTAAAAAATGTACTTCAAGCTAATTGCTTCAGTTAAAATTTATAATTAATGCATGGGTTTTGAGGCATATAGTGGCAAAAAATGAATGTATGTCAAGATAATGGATGTGGTTCTTTTTTGTTTATGGAAAATAAATTACTTCTACGTTTAAAGTAAAATGTGTAGTTGACCCAATGTATAGTGGAAGACAACAAAACAAGTTGAGTGGGCACAAGTTGTAAAAGATTTGAAAAAAGAGAAATGACATGTAAACTTACTTTAAAAGTCAAGGAAAAGAAAATTAAGTACACAACATAATATTACTTTATACATCGTTGCACTAGTAGCCTTTTAAAAATAGATAGCATTTCTTGTTGGCAGTGTTACAGTGATGTGGTAGGTTAATGTCTTCAGGAGAGCAATCTGATAATACCAATTAAAACAGAAACTATAAATCTTTGACTCAAATTGTATTCTTGGGAGCCTTCACTATGAAAAATCAGAACAGCAGCACATAACATATACGTATAAAGTAGTTTATTGGACATTTACCATTTTGCCTAGTGCCAAGTTGAAGTACAAACATCTGTATGGTTTATAATTTATGTAGAAATACAGAGTAATTATCACTTTAGGCATAGATCACTGTTATATTAACTCTGCATCAGGGAAATAAATGTGGTATTTAACTTAGGTGATTTATAAATCAAGAAGTGGATTTCAGTAGAGTGAAATATTCAGGGAACTGCCAGTCAAAATCCATTCCTATGTCTATGTCGACCAGTATTGATGAAGAGAAGAATCAAATGACAAGACAGATTTTGTCAGAAGCCCCTCACTTATAAAATTCTTAATGTCTTCTGGCCAAGCATTAAGCTCTCCCTGATTTCAAGGGAAAGTAGACTTAGTCTATTTTTCTATTACTAATCAAAACTAAATTAACTACGACAGGCAATAGTAATAATGGCACTAATTAAATGGTCATAAAATAAGCATTACTGATTGTCCATAATGAAATTCCTTCTTCCTTGAAACTCAGTGTTTCATACTCATCTAGGAAACAACTGGCAAGGAGATACAAGCCTCTCCCAGGCCCAGATAGTTATCATAATTTGGAAATGAAACGAATGAGTTACTTTTGAAAGGATCTAAGGAGGTTAAGAATGTCATCCTCATAGAAAAATACAAAGTAGAAAAGTAGGAATATAATTCTACTATGAAGAAAAGGAAAGTCATCAATTCTTTGGAGCTACTTTCCTAGAATCAGAAAATTGTCTAGGCCCTGAATTGAATTTGAACTCAAGTTGAACTTTGGGATTCTAACCAAAGCATTCAAACACTTTTTTTTTACTTTGACTAATTTTCACACCACTGGAGTAGAGTGAACACTGAAAAATTATTTCTGACTGCTTCATTGGACCTCCTTAACATTCTGTGGTTTTTTCTACTGAAACTGTAAGATGCATAAGAACAACACTTATGTTTTACTTTACAGTTTACAAGATGTCTTCTCACACTTTCTCTCGGAGGCAATCGTTCTGAGAGTTGGCACCATCAAGACAGGAATCAGGGATGGAGGTGTGTGTCAAGTGGTAGAGTACCTGCCTAGCAAGTGTGAGTTCAAACCCCAGTACCTCCAACAAATAAATAAGACAGGGATCATTATGAGGATGCTACCTTGGCATATGAAGGCACTGAGACTGGGAGAGGAGGATGGTTTGTCCAAACATATCCAGGTACTGAAAGATAGACTACAATTTAAGCTCAGTTCTTCCAATGTTACATTCAAGTTTAGGGGAAATATAGGAAAATTCATGATTTTGTGGGTGAAGTATTGAGGTTTGAACTCAGAATTTGCACTCGAACCACATCCCCAGGCCTTTTTGCTTCAGGTTATTGTTCAGATAGGGTGTATACTTTTGCCTGAGGCCTTCGACAGTGATCCTCCTACCTATGCCTTCTGAGTAGCTGATATTAGTTATAAACCACTGCACCCAGCCTTAA